CCGTTGGGCGATCCTTCGCCCCGCACCACGCTGCCCTCCCACCCGGGCGCCCACCCGAGAGACTGGCTCGCTCCGAGGTAGCGAGCTTCCCTCCTCCCTCCAGGTCACCTGCGGGACATCGGCAGCTTCGCGTTTGCCCGGAGCTCAGCTTCCAACCATCCACCCAAACCCGGACTGCAAGCTGCAAGGACAGCTCCTTGGTGGAAGGGGAAAGGGCGCTGGGACAGAAGCGAGCAGAGAGGAGGAGGACAAAGACGCGATTATCATGCAACCTCGGGTGAAGCCGCGTCCACGCGGGACTCGGCTCTGCGGCTCGGCCTCGCGCCTCGGTGACCGCGCGCTGCCGGGGATTGGACGGCCTCGGAGAAGGAGCCGTGTCCGGAGGCTGCAGCCCGGCAGTGGCCGCAGCCCGGCAATGGCCGCTCTCGCCCCCGGGCTCCGCTTCTGCAAGCCTGCAGAGTCCATCGGCCTCCGGGGCCCGGTGGGGCCTGACAACCTCGCTTTTAAATTTGGCGGGAGTGGCGTCCGCGGAGCCGAGGACGGCGCGAGGCGAGCGGCGCACGCGCAAAATGGCCTCCCGGTTCCTCGCGGCCTGTGCTCGCGCGGGGAGAGGCGGAGCGCGCGGCGCGGGTCGGACCTGGAGCGCGTGCTGCTGCTCACGGGTAAAACTGAGAGGAGGACGAGGACGCTTTCTCCTAACCTGCTCCAGACCAGGAAGGCAGCTCTGCCGTCCAAGCGAGGTTACTTCCTCAGGTGTCCCGCTCCTTCCCACCCCGCACTGGAAACTTTCATCATTATTATTATTATTAAACAGGTGCGCCAACCAGAAATCACCCTGGTCACCGGCTTTGTTTTCCCCAACTGTTGGCCTTTGTTGGAATATCTTCCCTGGTTTCTGGGTCGTTTAGACGGAAGATTCAATCTGCAGCACTCAATTTTTGACGCGTTCCCCTCTTATCGTGGTCCAAAGCTTTCTAAATCACCTTGGGGTCTAGCTGATATGGGACAGACTTGGAGAGCTTCCAACCTGTCTGAACCTTGAAATCATTTTGAAGTTGGGGTTTTATGATGGCCCAAAATTGATAGCAAGTAGGGATATTTTTTTTTGACGTGTAGGTGACCAAGGGAACACCAGCTTTTTTTTTTTTTAAGTTCTTCTGATAATCTCCGGTAGTACTATTTTTATGGCGAGAGTCAGAGAAAAGGTAATTCCACTCAAGTTTTTATTGAGTGCTTTACTATTCCTTCAAAGGGCTCAATGAGATTTCGGAATGAGTTTTCCACTTGAACATTTAAGAAAACCTGTAAGGTCCCTGGAATGATAAATGACTTCTGGCGTCGTCGTCTTGGTGAAGGCGGTTAGTGAGGTTCTTCGTGTGACAAAGACCTCCAGAAATTACATACTAAGAAAAAGAAACTGATGCAAATAAAGGAAATCCGTTTAAGGAACCAAAAGAAAAAAAACGTTTTAAAAATTAACTGCGGAAACAGGAAACACTAGACTGTGTAAACATTTTTCTGAGACTTTCATAATCAAAGCTGGTGATCTTGAGATTTGCAGGGCGATTCTCTGGTTCAGGGATTCCGCGGGACTGTTTCTCAAGCCACGTTTACTGGCTGGAATGTGATAACTTGTTTCTCTCCCTTGTCCCATTTGAATTCACGGGGTATTTTTTGGAGGAGGGCTGTTGTTTCAGGAGTCGGGATTTTTTTAGGTCGTTTTGGAACCGGCCACCTGTTGTACTGTGCATTTTATATAGAAAGAGACTTCCTTAAGAGGTATATATATATATACATATATATATATGTATATATATATGTATGTATCTAACTCAAGAGCTTTACATTAGAGTAGGCGGTCTGTGCTCCCATTCTTTTAGGTGTCTTAAAGGGATATGCAATTTTTGAGGTTTTTGTGTGGTGTTAGAAGATGTACTGATCTAACATCATGGAAGTCCTGTTATTTTAAATGTAATTTGAGTAAGAGCTTTTTTTGTTAGTTTCAATCTCTCATGGAAGCATCATCAGAACTTCTGTCATTCCTGGTGCGATGGGAGGAAAGGTGTACTCTAAACCTTTAGAGTACAAAGAGAAAAGCAAAACAACTTCCTTCACCCCAGGATGCTGAGTTCTTGGTGCAGAGTGCTTCTGAATCCTATTGCATCTAAACGCTATGGAGTGCATAAAAAAATCATACATCTTCATTTCTTGCTGATCTGTGCAAGCAGTGAGTAGCTCATGTGACTTTTTAAGTTCTTGTTATAGGCTTCAGAAGAAAAAAACCTTGTTTTTGATTGGCCCACACAAACATTACAGTGTAATGAAAGACATCATTGGTAGTTTAATTTCAAACCTTGGGGATAATAGGAAAAGATGAAGGAAAGGTCCCAGCAGTTTGCTCTTGTTGGGTTTTACTTCCTGAGAAACTACCCTCTGAACAGACGCCCGATGGAAATGAAGCAATGTGCTTAACTAGTTAAGTCAACTGAAGGGCAACCCTTTTCTACTCTGCAATTAACGGCCGGCAATTTAGGAGGTAAAAAGTACTTGGAAAGTGTTATGCATGTGTAAAGCAAGATAGATCACTATTTACACAACAGCAGTAGAGCCCCTTTTCTCTTTCTACCTTTCAGCTAAGTATCTGTGGGATCAATTTAGGCGTTTTCTGTAGACCACTTGGTTAACTTTGTATTCTAGCATTCTAGAATACACGGGATTAAAAGTCAAACTTTAAAATCAACTCTTCAAATTTACCCTAATTTGGTAAATTACAAAGTTAGAAGATTCAATAGATTTCACTTTCTTAAGGTGAGAATTTTTAAAATGTTAACTTGGCAAAGGTTTTAATTCTCAATGGTAAGAGCAATAATGACTAGTCATTTAAGAAGCAAACCACGACTCATCTTTCTGTTGTTTTATTAAAAGACAATTTTGACTGAAATATCTTTTAAGCTTAAGCAATTTTCAAATTGAGTAAGGGTAAAAAGCCTCTTCCCAGATACAATAAATGGAAGTGTTTTCAAGTATGGTGACACACTGCTGTGTAAGCCTTAAGTGCCTCTGACATTTTAACAAGCAGTTTCAGAAATANTTTTTTTTTTTTTTTTTTTTTTTTTTTTTTTTTTTTTTTTTTTTTTTTTTTTTTTTTTTTTTTTTTTTTTGCCAAGTTGAGGGCTCGCTAAACTGGCTATTTCTGTAACAGTATTCTTCATCTATGTCTTACCTCTGGGTGCTTCACATTGCAAAAAAACTGTGTATTTGCAACAGCCTACATGGCCAATCAAGGTGGAAAAAGATATTTTAAAGACCTGTAGTTTTACATTCTAATATAAAGTTAGACATTTTACTTAACTACAAAAGTACTTATCAGTTGGTAAAATGCTTGTTGGGTGTTATGAGAACCGAGTTGAGCTAGATGTGGCAATATGTACTTGTGGTCTCAGTACTAAAGAGGTGGAAACAGGTGATCCAGCCCGACCTAATCAGTGGTTCTCAGGTCTCAGTGAGAAAGACCTCATTTCAAAAACAAGGTGGAGTACTCCTGAGGAACAACTCCTTAAGCTGACTTCTGGATCGTAGACCCACACATATGTATGAATATGCTTCTCTCTGCACGGATACACCAAATGAGAGCTATCCTTGAAAATGTGTAATTGAAGTTTTTCATGGCTATCTCTAATATTTTGTGAGCTGTGGACAAAGATAAGTAAAATGTAAAAATGTGCAGCTCTTTGAAAGTACAGTTTCTAGGCCAGGTAGGCTAATGCAATAAGACTGTGATCAGATTTTTTTAAAATGAATATCTTTTATTGAATTTTCCAATTAAAAATGAAATTTAATTTTACATCTATAATTAGAAACAACACACACAATAGGACTGTACAAATTTAGGTCAAAATAAAAATATATGTATTTTGTGGCTTCATAAAACATCATTTACTGAATCTTTAAAGAAAGCAGAAGTAACAGCAATATATGTAAAAGTAATGACTTAATGGCTATAAGCAAGACAAAGCAATAGAATTGTGCTTCTTTCGCAGACTGGAGACAATGAAATGCTTAGCTACAATTTCCCACACAAACATGAAACAATATTCATATAGAATAAACATCCTCACAAACAACTGATAGATGATGAACACACACTAAGTTCGACCAAAGCAAAACAGAATTGGTAGGGTCATTCATATTTTAAATTCAACATGTTTGCTCTATTTAAAAATACCTGTAGAAACTCATAATAAATTGCTTCTATTTCCAGACAATACAGAAAAGGCAGATTCCGTTAACTATGAAAACAACTCTTAAATTTGAAATTATTATTATGCCACATACACTAAAATCATTGCAGATAAAATGCTTTCCTTCAGCAATTAGCTTGGTGACTTAAAAATCTATTTTAGAATTCCAGTGATAATAGTATTTAAAAACACAATTCTATTTAACCAATGGAAAATTAAAACACTATTTCCATTTGCCTTGGTTAAAATTTTTCTTTACTGTAACATTAATTTTGAAGGTATTATTGGAGAAAAGCCAGAACTATGATGATCTGCCAATTGCTTCTAAGTGGAAAAGGATTTGAAACTAGTCATCAGCATTGAAACAAATTCTGTGCTGGTGATAAGTAAGCCTCAACACAGGGTGCACTATGGGTAACTGCAAAGGTCGAACCAGTTTGGAGAATTTTAACAGCTGTTTTTGAGTGCATGAAACACAATATTTTTATAGTATTTATAAATATATCATACAATACTGTTTCCTGTTATGTCATATACCAATATGGCATTGTACAACAAGCATAATGCCATCTGATTCTTACAAAAGCGAATCATTTAAACAAGTCAGTAAAATAAACGGTAGTACCCGCTTTTTAGGCATACAGATTGTAAAACTGAAGTTTCCTTTGATCATTTGTGTAGCAACAGAGAAGTAAAAATCAAACAGGAATTAAAATGGCTAAATATGCAAGAAATTGTTATTCACAGTGACATGGCTACATAGAATGCATTATTCTATGCTTATTCTTTCCATTTGTTGAATTTCAAGATAAAAAGCACTTGTTTTCTACAGGTTCACAAAACAGCATAATAACAAGAACAATCAAAGAGAATGTAATGTAGGCATTGGTTGGGATTAACAAACTACGGCCCAATGTTTCTACCCACTGCAGAGCATTTCCAAATCCGAACAATGGCACAGAAACCATTCCCCATCTTTCCTAACACAGAAAATCTTGCCTGCCTTCTCAAACCCAATTCTTTACAGAAAAAACCTTTCTTTTCAATTAACATCCATGTGATGATGTATCACATCTAGTCCATCTCTTATGACCAAATTTAATGTCACTACAAAAGAAAGCAAACTGGACAATAGTCACATGTATTAGCATCTATAAAGCTGTAATGGATGAAGGTATCTAAATCAGGGGCTGAAAAATCTTTTCTTTAACAGTCTCAGGATTCAACCAGATGAAGTTGCTGATGACCCATTTATTGATGATTTTCGAGGTCTACTGGCAAAGGAAGATTGGTGATTACCACTGGGGCTGTTGCTGGTTCCATTCATGGTACTGGAAATGTGAGGGAACTGTGGGTGAGGAGACTGCACTGGAGTACTGGGGCTGGGCAAACAGGAAGAGGTGGAGGGAACACCTCCAGCTGGGCTGCTGGCCTTGTCACTCCCAGAGTCACTTTCCAGCTCTCCAGCATTGGTCAGTCCATCTCGCTGGTGACTCATCTTCATTCTTTTACAAGCTGGTCGAACTCTGTATTTCAAAGGAAGTGGGCCATTCTACAAAGTTAAAAAGAAAAAGAATTATCACTCTCAATTCTTTACATGAATTTGGCCAACATGAGCTAAGGGTAGAGAGCTACTTACTCTTCTCCAGGTATAAATATAGGCAATGTCCATTAGTGTATAGTAATCCTTTAAAGGTTCCTCTTCATACATGACATCAATCTATTGAAGTATATTTCAGGTATTCAGTGACAAAAAGACAAACACTAAATATAATCCAAAATAGTCTTAAAAGCATCTTCACCAGCTATTTTAAGAGATATCTTAAACTTTGCCACCAAATTTAAGGTTTCTTTGTATTGCTTTTTAAGGTGCAGAACCAAAAAATAAACAATGTAAGAATCTACATGAAATGCATGGGGTGGGTACCTGGAAAGTGTTAGGTATGTCCATTTTACTCCTGAGAAACTTCCTCAAGTGCATCACAGTCATTGCTGCTGGGCATCGTAAGTATCTTTTATCATTCACCTATAAGCACATTTACAAAAATAATTTTCTCCCAATTCCTAACCTTCAGGTAAAAAGAAAGTTTGAATTGCCTAAATATGATAAAAGGTACTAATATCCACACCAAAATGCAACAAAACTCTCAACTAGATATAATTGGAATTTATTATTAAAAACACTAAATCAACAAATTTCCAACACTATTTGGCCATTTAACACCATCACATGACTCCAGAGTATTGTAAAGGACAACATAAAATGGAGAACCAAAGGCCCATGTGTTTTTGTAATGTGGACATACCTCCTCCTTAGACTTCTCTTTGTTTACCTTCCGATCTGACCTAAGAGACAGACAATGATTGGTGAGACCAAGAATCTAATACTGCATTACCTGGCACACATTTCCTGCAGAACTTACCGGTTCTGATCAAAGAACTCGATGGACAAGCTGATTATCTCATCATCAGTTATAATTCGCTTATCCTCATCTGCAACTTCTCCTCTGTCTTCATTAGAGCCATTGGATGCTATAAAGACATTTTGAAATTTGATTTTTAAAAAACTGAGTATTTTGTATATAAGAGGATAGAAGGGTTAATTTTGAGTAGACCCAATAAATTATTAATAAATTTTCCTCCCCAAATAAAATATCTTTTGTCCCACCACAATTTACCATCAGCTGAAGGATGAGCTGCATAAAAATCCCTTCTTCTCTTCATTTCATCTGAAAGGTGCGGGAAGGGGAAATACAGAAATATGGCACAACAGGTAAAACCAACGTTTTTTAAAAATTTATTTAATCAAGTTACTCACTTTTGAAAAGCCCTGGAACTAGTTTGTATACAATATCTTGAAGAGTTTTATCTGACCTGAAAAAGAGTAAGAATCAATTAATATGGCAAAACTAGAAATGTTCTTAAGCTTTTGGTATTTTTTTGTGTTGTGGTTATTTTACTGATTGTGATACAGTGCAAAAGAACAGGGGTAAGGAAACAGTGAGGGTGCTTAGTAGTTCTTCACACCCACTGAATCAAAGGAAGCTGCCTGTCTGTCGTGTAACTAAGAACACAGAAAGGAATATGGGAACATTGGAAAATTATTCTTGTCCATCATTAAATCAATAAGGCAATGCACAAAACAGGGAAACTAGTTTTAAAGGGCAGAAAAGACACCTTAGAACACTGGAATAACACTGAGCTTTGTCAAAACATAGTCTTCATTAAGATGGCAAAAAATTAAAGTCCTATCCCCCAGAAAGAACACATATCAGATTAAGACTAAAGAATAAATTTCCTTCAAAGCAAAAACAAGGATGCCTTCCCTGCCTGTGAATTATGCAATTCCAGTAACCATTACCACCAAGAAATTTCAGCATTTTCCTACCTTATATTCAGTAGTGGTCTAGTTTTGTGAACTTGGACATCACAGATAGGACAATATTTGCTGGTCTCCAAGTAACGCACAATACATGTTTTACAGACTAGAAAGAGAAACATAGAAAATTTTTTTGTAAGTGTGGAAAATAAAGGTTCAAGCATTAAAACTATCAGAACTGAAAATTCAAGGATGGGAAATGACAAAGGTATTTCTCAAAGTAAAAAAGTGAAACCAATGAATACCCTGAACACTACATACTGCCTAATTGTAACAAAACCAGCAACAAATCACTACATGTAAGAGAAAGAAAACCCCACAACTGTGTGCTAACATTTCCAAGGAATGTGAGAATGTTGCTAGTTTAGCATCCAGAATGAGCTGTGAACTATACAGCCACAAGAAGGCTAACATGTACTTACAGGAATGTAGACATTCTATTATAGTAGTGGCATCAATGAAGTACCCTCCACAAAGTACACACATTAAGTGGGGATTTAGCTCAGTGATCTTGATTCTGGTTGTTCGATGCATTTCTGCTTGATAAAAGATCCTGCAAGACACAAAAATATTGACTATAATTCAAAGAGAGATTCAGATGATCTCCACAACTCTTCAGTAACTGTATACCCTAAAACGCTGGGTAGTTCATAAAATTTGTTTAACACTGTACAGCTGGACTCTCCAAACGTTTTTCCACAGAAGGAATTTACTAATGAGATCAGAATAACCTCCACCGAAATGGTGTAAAAAGATCCAACTAAATTTACTTCTGGCCTCTCAGGTCATTCCAGGAGCGAGATGAAAAGGTCTGGAATGGGGGCTGGGAGCTGGGTGGATTCAAGTCTCTTCCTTCCATCTGTCCTCCAACTCCTCAGACACCAGGAGACTCTTCAGACACCATGCAGTCCCCGCAGATATTTACAAGTCACTGGCGCTTGATCTAAGTCTCCGAATTTACTGTGGAATTTCCTGCAGGTCCTCCAGTCAAAAACTTCGGGATTCTTCAGACGGCTCAAACAACCAGAACCTGGCAGGGCTCAGGCCCCACAAAGAGAAAGCACTCGGTGCTGCCTCCTGCATCCCTGGCATTTCCGGACTGGGTGCCGAGAACAGAAGCACCTCGTGGGCCTCTCCAGAGGCCTGGGCGCTGCGGACACCAGCGGGATGTGAGGGGCGGATCCCGAGGTGCCCCGGGCTAGGTCTTGCTCCGGATTCGGAACTCGCCTCTGTTGGGGTTTCCATAGCAACTTACACTTACACTTGGCATCCGGCCACCGCTGCAACTCTGCGAGGAGCTGGCCAAGCCAAGCCTCTTCGGGCGTGCGGGGTGGCGGGTGCGGGGGGAGGGGCGGGGCTGGGTCGTAGGGTGCGGATCTTCGGGTGACCGCCACCGCAGTCCCAGCCCCAAAGAGAGTGTACCGGTCATTCCAGACACTCTCCGGATCTCTTCCACATCCACTGGGAGAGAAGAGCTACTTTCTTATCTTGCCGGTTTTTTTTTCTTCTGTCTGTCCTGTTAGCAATCACTTCGTCAGAAATTTCACTTAGAGATCTTTTGAGAATTGCCAACTGTGCACTTAGCTCCAACCCGACAAGACTCGAGTTGCAGAGACATTTATTGAACTGAACCTCTAAGGTTCCCTTCTCTAATAAGTCCTCCAGTAGATCAGATGAGCCGTGCAAAGTTTTTGGAAGGGCTAAATCCTGAAGTCTGTTTTACAAGAAGAGGAGGGACAAACCTCCGTTTGAATAAACTACCCTGGAGGCAAGAAAAACTACTTTAGTGGGTAGGATAGTGACAACATGTAAAAAGCCATGTGACCATCCCATTCCCAAAGCTAAATGCAGAGTAAAGATTGGAAGGGAAAAACAAATGCTATTTTCTCACCTAACTTCCATACAATACTCACAAGATGAATAAATGGTAATCCCAACAGATACATTTTAGAAAACTCACAGCTGAGAACTGTCAGCAACGTCACAGCAGAAAGTAATCAGGGAAGTCAATTACCCAGTGTACTGCTGTGGGATGCAGCTCCAATTACTACCCTTTCATTCATTGCAGACTTCTAACCAAGGCTGACCTTTCTACACCTGGCTGAAATACAGCCTCAAAGCTGTCTGTATTGGAAATATAGGAACTTGTATAATTTTTAGGAAAATGCAATGGGGCTTTAATTTTAAGGAAATTTTAATACAGATGAGGAAAATAACAAGAAGCATACCCCAATGGCTGGAACTAACAGTGAGTCCTAAAAGATGGCCCAAACACAAAGCTCAGTGACTTCAACCAGAGAGCATCTTTATTACTTGTTTAGAGTACTGTCAACAAATAGCACCGATTTAAGTAGTAGAGAAGGTGTGGGTGGAATCATGCCTCTAAAGAGGAGCAAGATCCTAATGCAACCATACCTGGTGATTAAAGACCTCTGCCTACTGCTCAAAGGAAACTCCCCGGGTGAGACCACAGGGTCTTTCCTAGAAAGATGGCCAGCAAGGCTGATTGATACTCTGCCTAGGCAAGAAAGCACAACCTACAAAGCAGGCACCATAGGTTCACCAAAGGGCCTGCCTCTCCCCATGTTACACAAGGCACATTCTATTACCTAAGTACAAATACTAACTCAAAGAACACTCGAGCCTCCATAGAAGGTGATCACTAATTACCCTGGAACATTTCAGGCACACAAACTTGACCAAAGGCTCTCAAATTCACCTTAAATTGGAATTCATGCAACTCTCTTACCTCAGTTGAAAATAATCTGGCCCCTTTTCCTATAACCATTCATAGTACTAATCAAGTATCACTTTGCTATTGATACAAACCTCAATTCTTCATCATTTTATCTTACTGGACAGTACTGACAACCTAATAAAGATTTTCTGGAATGCTTGGTAAAAACTTAAGAAACAATCTCTTGCACCAGAGAGCCTGTAAGCCAGTAAAAATACAACAAGCATACAACGCTGAAAATACTCAATAGTTAAAACATGCCTTTATAGCTTACTCAGTAGGAGCTGTCAGTTTTTAGTTGGAGGCCTAACACCAGTAAGGTCAAAATGATGGAAAACAGAAGCAAGCTCTTATGGTAACAATCAGTTTACTGACTGCAACCTAAGAAATGCAAATGAACTCCATAATCCCTCTGGGGGCTCACTGCTCAAATGCCAGGAGGGGAAAGTTGGAGGTGACTTGACTCATGGAGAGAACTCTGCCTATTAGGATACTTAACGTACGTCCAAGAACTCAGTGGTAGAGCATTAATGGACTTATCAAATACATCTAAATGCTCACTTGGCTTACAAAAGTTTGTATGTGACCATATTTGAGTGTCTACACATGCATACACAATCTTTTACATAGCTTTAAGTTATTATTACAAGAGTATGATTTGCCCTGGTAGGTAATTTCAAATACTGCATTTTCGTAGGAGATATATGGAAAAGAACTGGATATATCTATATCTATTTACTTAAAAAATCAACCTCTGAGAAATTCTGTCACTCGTCTATTTAAGACCCAATGTTACTACATAGTCTCACAACTTGGTTACACACATGCCGTCAACAATTTACATCCTTTAGGATCAAGTCTTTACTACATTTTACGATGCGTTTCCAAAGGTTGAGGGGGAGGGTCTCCTATAAAAATAGGTTGAGCTAACATCATACATCATTTGGGTAAATATGCCCGAAATTTTGCCTACTTTAAGGGAAGGGGTTAACAGTCAATTCTCTTTCAGATATTGAACCGTGACCACTAAGCCCACTAAATCCTTTTATTGCAATTGGGAATGATCAAAGTCTCTCTCCTTGTTTATTTCCAATTATTAACTGTAAAGCTCTGGGGAAAAGATCACGCTCCAGTGCTGTCAAGTCCAAATGACTACGTAAACATAAGCAATCAATGCGTTAGTACTCCTTCCTCAAAGCATCCCCTATGCATGACCTATGCTGACATTTAGTAAAATCTATACAACGCGGTGGACCTAAGCCACGAGTCTCTGCGCATCCCACAGAACAGGGCAAAGTTGCAGTGTCTTCGAAGGAAAAGAAGAAAAATGGGGGGGGGAAAGAAGTGGACAGAGAAAGGGAGCCTTCAGCAAGGCTAACGACCAGTCGCCGTCTTCACGCCAAAACAAAGCTCTAAATTTGAAATGCCCACCTCCTGGAGAGCTCGCCCCAAGTACGTATGGTACCCCTGTCCAGGACTCCCAACAAATAACACCTTGAAAACTTTACCCTTTCCAACACAAATGCACAAGACCTTGGAAACAACTGGGAACCGCCATCTTACCAGCCATCCAATTTCACACAAGTGTCCCTCCAACTTAAGTTAATAACATTTTTGTCCGGGCTCTCCCCATCCTAACACCCACCTCGTCGGGATCGCTGCCCCCCACAGTACCCATCCCTATAAAATGGGGGCGTTCCCTGGAGGTTCAAAGACCTCCAGAGCCCTTTCTTCAGGAGAGGAGGGAAGACACTGGACCCAGGCAGCGCCCGATCTCAGGATCCCGTCCCCATTTCAGCAAAGTCTACCTCTCAACAAAGGGCGCAGCGGCCGCGGGAGCCGCGCAGGCTGAAGACACAAGTGCCGCTCTCGGGGACCATGTGCGGCGCGAGGGTGCCGGGGGGCGCTCGGGGGAGCGGGGAACTAAAACGTGGGGCGGCGCGGCGCGGTCGGGCGCGGGCGGCGGCTGGAGCGGCTGGAGCGCGGCCGGGCGGCGCTGGTGCGGGCTGCGGGGCGTCCGGCGCCGCGGGAGGTGGCGGGCGCGCGGGCGCGGGCGCGGGGCGCGGGCCGGTTGCCCACGCTGTCAGCTCCGCCGCCCCCCCCCATACCGCCCCGACCCCCACCAGTCCCCGGCCACGGCCCGCCGGCGCCTCGCCTCCTACGTACCCGGAAAGAGCGGCCGGCGCGAGGCGATCGGAGCGGGCGGAAAAGACAATGAAAGTTAAAAGTCGTTCAGCAGAAAATGAATGCGAGCCAAGCGGCCATCTTGGAGCGAGCTGCCGCCGCCGCTGTCAATGGGCACCGAGCGCGGCCGAGAACAGCCGCGGCCGCCGCGCTCGGCTCATGCCGCTCCCCCGCCGGCCTCCTGCTTGCGCGCTGCGGCCTCCTCCTCCCGCGCGGCCTCCTCCGCCTCCGAGCGGCCTCCGCCGCCGCCTCCTCGGGGCCTCTCCTCCTCCTCGGCGCAGCCGCCGCCTCCCGGCCGCGCTCGGGGGAGGGCGCGCGGAGGGGCCGAGCCGTATTATTCTGCGGGGCTGGGAGGTGTTGCTAAGCCGGCGCGGGGCTCCCTCGCCAACCTCCCCATTGTCTCGCCCGCTCTCTGCCTTTAATACTACGATTATTATTTCAGACTCGCGTGGGGGAGGCGGGCGGGCGGGGGGCGCCGAGTGTGCGTGCGGGCGGGGAGGCGGGGGAGGGGAGGAAGGATGAAGAGGGGGAGGGGAGGGTGGAAAAAAATGCACCGCTGAAGGCAGAGTGGAAACTGACACCGGCTCCAAAATGGCTCGGAGTCCGCCCGCCCCCTCCCCCCGCCCCCCGCCGGGTCACGTGCTCCCCTCATTCCTTAAGGGCGGCCTGGGAATTAGTGTCGGTGTAGTCGGGCCCGTGGCCGCCCCCTCCCCTGCGCGCCGCGCGCCCAGCCCCCTCCCCTCGCTGCGCGCCGCGGCCGCGACGGCGGCATTTCTCCACAGCGCCACACGCCGCCCTCTCCTCTCGGCGCGGCCCGCTCGGCCCCGCACGCCGCCCCGCCCCGCCCCCACCGTGTCTCCCGCTCGCGGCGCACACGTCCGCGGGGCCCGCCGCCGGGGGCGCCCGGCCGCTGCCCCCGCTCGGCCCCGCCGAACCTGCGCCGACTCAGGCCCGCGGAAACAACAGCGGCCGCCCCGCCCGCTGGCGGCCGGGGAGAGGCGCGCGCGGGGAGCGGCCGGGCTGGCTCCGCGCGCAGGGTCGGGCGGGCCGGGAGCAGGTAACGGGCCGTCCCCGGCTGCGAGCGCGGCTCCCCGCACACCTTTCCCGCGGCGCCTGACCCGGGGAGGCGGGCGTCCCGAGGCCGCGCCACTCGGAGCTGCTTCGCACACACAGTCGTCACTCACACACAAACTCCAGACCGAACACCGCCCTTCGGTGGGAACACCACCTTATTTATTCAGGGACCGATACTTTGTTAGGGCTTCAAAACGCTCAGAAAGGAATGCTTGCTAATACTGAAAATTCAGATGCTTAAGAGTTTCTCTCCTAACCATTTCACATGTGTAAAAAAGTGTCAAAACTTAATGGGTGTCGTAACTTCGAAAGGGCGCTCTTTTTCTCCTGAAAATGACATCCAGCTCCCAGGGTCCTGCAGGAGGCAAGGCTCATCTGCTTTTCCTCTGGGCTCCTGGGGTCCCAAGTTACAGCTGAGTTGCTCTTTCCAGGCCTTTTGAAGCATCCTTAAGTTTTCCCACCAAGTCCTAAAAGATGTACACTCATGTCACAATTTTGGGATACAAGTAAGTAAGCACCCAATTTGGAGGCAGCGGCAAGAAGAAAAGTCGGAAGAACACCTAACGAGTCTTTACAGGGGAGTTTAACCACAGGACCTTGTCTTCGAATCAGCTATTCAAGTTCTAATTAAAAGAGAATTTCTCACAAAATTTTTGCAGCCAGAGAATATCTAAGTCATGTCTCAATTTCTCTAAGAAAGGTTCTGATTCACACACATTTCTTAACCTTTTAAAATTTCGCTAATATTTACAATAAAATGGCTGCAGATGTCTCTGGAATATTCAATTTCATCAAATTTCCAGGGATGATCTTCACTTTATTTAACTGGTAAGAAAGAAATTCGTTGTTATATCCATCAGTCAACGAAAATTCAGTTTCTTCAGTTTTACATTAACAATATAAACAGTTTTAAGAACTTGTGTGACTTTCCCTTTATAGAGTAATTTAAAACTACAGCTTTCAAAATACAGCTTTGGAGGATTACTTTGTGAAAGGCATTTTAAACCCTTGTTCTTATTTTTGCTCAGTTTTGATGAATCAGACACATGATAAATTGTACTGAGAAGTCTATTTTAATTAGAGAAAACAGCAAATACATGCTATTGAAAATATTACTATCATACTTTTAAAAATACTTTTTAAAAATACTTTTTTAAAAATCTGCTACATTTCTGCTTTCCATTCTCCCTTTGCCATTAAACCCTGAACCAACCTTCATTATCTGATGATAGGTGGACTACAGTTCTCAAACAGGAAAAAGCATATTCAGAGATCCTGATACTGTACCTGTAACTGTTCCATGCTGCAACTAAAGCTAATCTCTGGGTGGGACTGGGAGTCACTGTTCTATGGAAGAAAAAAATGCTCTTTATTAGAAGGCAATGAAAACTTTTGTTGTACATGAACTTGTAGACCAGGATCTGTACATACCTCTACATTTAAGGTCACCAGATATCCAGGTCGGTACATCTTATGAAGTTGATTGGTCTAAAAGAACAGAAAACACTAGGATTTAACCTAAAAAAAAGAAAGTTCCCTATATCCCTCTACAAAGAGTTTGTTAAACTTTACCTTTATCTGATATTCCAAGCGCCAGGAAACATCAGTTACATGAGGGAGAGCTCTGCCTATACTGAAAGACAATGGTAATTTTGTAGTGTCTACTAAACCACGTCTTCTCTCCTCAACCCCTTCATCCCACTTTGAACTTAAAGTTCTGCTCAACTTCATCATTAGATTCCAAAGAGTAAAAGCATCTAAGGTTATATCAAGTTCTATCTTTAAAAACATTAGTCTAACTTCAACTGGTCCACACACCCTTTGGCCCTTTTATTTTGGGTTAGGATCCCAGGATTTTTTGGCCCTGTTTTGTTTCACACCAGCACGCTCTATTCGTTACCCACAAGTGAAAAGTGCCCCAGCTTGTCACCTAATACAGTACCTACCTTCCCAGCAGGGTTTCAAGAGAATTCTTATTATTCTGGGAAGGGGGAAAAAAGAAAGAAAACACATTTTTACAAACAAGAGCAGGGGAAAGGGGACTAATTGCTAATTTAAAAGTTTAAAGTATGTAACCTGATATTCCGTACAAAATATTTCTATCCGATCCTGGTCAAATTTACAGTCTTCTAGGTAAGTGCTGGGGGGTGGGGAGAGGGAAACCAATGTTTTAGTCTCTGTCTTTAAAAACTGATTGACGTTACAATTGCAAAGATACCACCTACAAAGTAAATGGGCATTTAGATAAAGCCTGTACCTTAGAGTGGATTTGTCAACCCGGTGCTTCCCTGCCTCCAGTATGTAGGTTGCAGCAGCTGCATGACAATGCTTTAAAACCACGGGGTCGATGTGTTTCAAGCCTGGGTGATCTAAAATAAATTAATTGCTAATGATTACAAATTCTTTAGACCCTGTCCCTAAGAGGGATTATTTTGGTTTGGGTAAAGCTTCCTTTGAAAAAAAAGGTAACAAAAATTCAAGTGTAAATGAACGGGATGAACAAGGTCAGGTGCACAACAATAAACAGAATACAATAATGTGCTGTCAATCTCTTTCCATCACCTTTTATTTTTATCCCAATATTTTTAAAAATACCAGGCCTCAAAGAAAAAGGGCAGTGGTTGCTGGATGGACTGAAAGCAAAGGAGAAACTGAAGGTAGTTTACATTATGTAAATTTCAAAATGAACGATGTTCAAAAAATGACATTTTAAGAGTAATTGGTTCCGTGGACATAAATACACCAAGGAAGCTTGACAGGAAAATAGCATACATTAGAATGTACAACAGAAATTTCAAAATCGCACTATTTACACACACACACACACACACACACACACACACCTCTCCGAGATTAACCCAGGTGGTGGTTACTATTTTTTGCTTGAAGAACAGCTTCCACTTTCATACTTTTTGTCCAAGTGTCGAGTATGAAACCGGGGGTGAGGGGTGGGGGCGGGGGACAGACACAACAGATCTGAATTGTGTTGATACATTTAAGGAAATAACCTAGAAGTGATTTGTCTTAAAGTACGCTCTTAATCCATGACAACGGCATAATGCCACCAGACAGACATTTAAAACTGTCTCTCTTCCTGGTAACCGCTGCAGAACAAAAAACATTATGCGCCCTACTTGAAGGTTCTGGGAGGGGAAGCTGGATTTAACACACAACTTCAGTGTTGCAGTGATCGCAGGATCCGGAGGTGTTCTCTAGGTGGAAAATGTCAATGCTGTTTGACCCAGCCGAAACTGACCCTTTTCAACCCCCTCCAGTCCAGCCGAGGGAGCCTGAATCACAGGACCTCCCCAGTTGAAGTCCAAGTGTCAAAACAGCCGCGGCTCCGAGAAGGCTGAAAACCCCACACATTTAGGCCACAAACAAGACTTGAAGGCGGCTTTACAAAGGAACAAAGAGACTGGCAGGAAAACCAGGCCAGGAGCGTGGGGCCGGCCGCCTGCAGGTGCCCTGCAGGGGCAGAAGGGCGCTCAGGGCCCGCTCGGGTCCCCA